CCTTTTGTGCACACTGGTAACCTGCGCACTCCAACCCTTGCGCGCACTTCAAACATGTGCACACTTCATAGGAGGGCGTAGGGTGCAGTGTGGGTATTGGGACTGGGCCTCTGTCTCAGTTGGTTTTGTGTTATTAGATCTTACCTGTGTTACTTACCGGCTGCTCCTCATCTTTACCTCTCGCTCTCCTTTCTGCGTTCATGCTCTGGGGTTCTATTTGCAAAACATAGCACTTTTTTTGCTAACACCATTTTATTTTTTCCATTTCTATTCACCTTTAGATTCGCCTCTGAAGGAAGTCAAGGTCTGACTGATCAAACATAGCTGTAATTTTGACAGCAATAAACACACAGTGTTTTGTACATGTAGTCCATTATAATGTACGCAGGACCCAAGGGACTTTTGGACACTTTTTTGAAAAACGGGAAGTTTGCTCCCAGGAAAAGTCTATAAAATGGTGTCAACAATTGAGTACAAAATTGACATAACCCAATTATATTCTTTATAATATGACAATCTATTTCCCCTTGTGACATATAATATGTTTGGAATATTTTAAAGCCAATTCAATGTATTTAGAAAAAAGCTGTTTGAACACTTGTGCAGGCCCAACTTTCTACTTTTCTATTTTTGAAATAATAACAGAATCATCTATCATTTTACTTTCACTTTACAGTTTGTTACTTGTTTGTGAAAAAATATTTTTCACAGATGGAACAAACAGAGGGTGTAGCTTCAGCCATCTTCTACCAGAAAGGGAAAAAACCCGGCGGCTACTACTGGTTTGGTTTTTTTTCTCCTACAGTACCTTGCGAAAGTATTCGGCCCCCTTGAACCTTTCAACATTTCGCCACATTTCAGGCTTCAAACATAAAGATATAAAAATTTATTTTTTTGTCAAGAATCAACAACAAGTGGGACACAATCGTGAAGTGGAACGAAATTTATTGGATTATTTAAACTTTTTTAACAAACTTTTTTAAAAATGAAAAGTGGGACGTGCAATATTATTCGGCCCCCTTGCGCTAATACTTTGTAGCGCCACCTTTTGCTGCAATTACAGCTGCAAGTCGCTTGGGGTATGTCTCTATCAGTTTTGCACATCGAGAGACTGGAATTCTTTCCCATTCTTCCTTGCAAAACAGCTCAAGCTCAGTGAGGTTGGATGGAGAGCTTTTGTGAACAGCAGTCTTCAGCTCTTTCCACAGATTCTCGATTGGATTCAGGTCTGGACTTTGACTTGGCCATTCTAACACCTGGATACGTCTATTTGTGCAGTGTTGTACCAGTTCACAGCTTTTCTGAACTAGTTCAAGTTCAGTTCATACATGCTCAAAGTGAACAGAACACGTTCAAAGTTCACATTTTTAATTCTGAACTAGTTCAAAGTTCAGTTCATTTTACTTTTTTCGTGAGATACTTAAATACATATTTTTTTCACACTACGAGCTATATATATATATATATATATATATATATATATATATATATATATCTCCTTTACACCCACAGGAGAGAGCCTTTTGACTACAAAACAGACTAGATTTATATGGTTTTCAATGGGAGCCAAACGGAGTTGCTCCATCTCTGCTCATAAACTACAGACAGTAATGCGCTGCAGTGCGTGTGTCTATACTTTATGTCAAATGTAAACGGTGTAAACTTTGTCGCTAACTCACCCTGTGTTTTCATCACGACTCGGGCACATGTGAAAAGCACCAGCTCACAGCGCCACACCGCAACACGGAGTCGGGGTGCGTTCACAGACGGTGGAAACCGTAGGAATTTTTAGATTTCGGCGGAAAAAGTGCGAGAATACAGGAGGGAGGAACTTTCTCTCGTTGCGTTTCAAAAGAGAAAACAGATTCCAACGTTCATAGTGATGTCTGCCGTTCATGACACATAAAATGAACTAATTCACGTTCAAGTTCTTTTTTTAAAAATGTGTTGCGTTCAGTTCAACGTTCACAAAAAAATTAGCGTGTTCAATGAACGCGTTCTCTTGAACTCGTTCACGCACAACACTGTATTTGTGAACCATTCCATTGTAGATTTGGCTTTATGTTTTGGATCATTGTCCTGTTGGAAGATAAATCTCCGTCCCAGTCTCAGGTCTTTTGCAGACTCCAACAGGTTTTCTTCCAGAATGGTCCTGTATTTGGCTCCAACCATCTTCCCATCAATTTTAGCCATCTTCCCTGTCCCTGCTGAAGAAAAGCAGGCCCAAACCATGATGCTGCCACCACCATGTTTGACAGTGGGGATGGTGTGTTCAGGGTGATGAGCTGTGTTGCTTTTACGCCAAACATATCGTTTTGCATTGTGGCCAAAAAGTTTGATTTTGGTTTCATCTGACCAGAGCACCTTCTTCCACATGTTTGGTGTGTCTCCCAGGTGGCTTGTGGCAAACTTTAAACGAGACTTTTTATGGATATCTTTGAGAAATGGCTTTCTTCTTGCCACTCTTCCATAAAGGCCAGATTTGTGCAGTGCACGACTGATTGTTGTCCTATGGACAGACTCTCCCACCTCAGCTGTAGTTATCTGCAGTTCATCCAGAGTGATCATGGGCCTCTTGTCTGCCTCTCTGATCAGTCTTCTCCTTGTTTGAGATGAAAGTTTGGAGGGACGGCCGGGTCTTGGTAGATTTGCAGTGGTCTGATACTCCTTCCATTTCAATATAATTGCTTGCACATTGCTCCTTGAGATGTTTAAAGCTTGGGAAATCTTTTTGTATCCAAATCCGGCTTTAAACTTCTCCACAACAGTATCTCGGACCTGCCTGGTTTGTTCCTTTGTCTTCATGGTTCTCTCTGCGCTTTAAACAGAACCCTGAGACTATCAAAGAGCAGGTGCATTTATACGGAGACTTGATTACACACAGGTGCATTCTATTTATCATCATCAGTCATTTAGGACAACATTGGATCATTCAAAGATCCTCTCTGAACTTCTGGAGTGAGTTTGCTGCACTGAAAGTAAAGGGGCCGAATAATATTGCACGCCCCACTTTTCAGTTTTTTATTTGTTAAAACAGTTTAAGTTATCCAATAAATTTCGTTCTACTTCACGATTGTGTCCCACTTGTTGATTCATGACAAAAAATTAAAATTGTATATCTTTATGTTTGAAGCCTGAAATGTGGCAAAATATTGAAAGGTTCAAGGGGGCCGAATACTTTCGCAAGGCACTGTATCTTGCGGTGGCAATGTAAGAAAATGAAACACAATATATTTTTCTGGTTAAAATGCTATGTAACACACATTACTGACCTTTGTACCTAGTACATTATTATCCAGGGTTTTTTGGAATGCCTTACATTACCGTGTTACAGCATTAGCAATACAGTAATTACATTATTATTGTAACGCGTTACTCACAACACTTTCCGTTTAAGTTTAGCTTAACATTTATTGCAACTAAACTTCTAATTGGCAGTAAATGTTTTATTCAGCTATTTTAAATGGTGGTTGTTATTATCTTAATGTTACACAAAATTAGAACAGGTCAAAATAGCTCCAGACAATGGTCCTTTGGCAGAAAAAGATGCAAAACGGCTTTTTTTTATAACAAAGGTTGCAGATCCCTGATTCACCTGGGCTAGGTGAATCATAAAACAATAATGGATTCAGAGACAAAAGGGAGTGGGGTTTGGTTCCGGTCAGAGGACTGAGGGGAGAGCAATGGTGTCCTGTGAACATATGGACATAAATAACTCTGGGCTAAAAATAGCTTTGTGTGTGTTAACAACAATGGGGAAACGACATGGCCAGAAGCTGTGATTAGTCAAATTTTAGGTAATTTCAACTTTAAATCCCACTCCAAACTAACTCTAAGCCAACTTTGTCCTGAATCAAATGCAAATGTAGTGTGGAAATGAAGCCTGATAAGACAGGTGTGGGGACGGTGAATGGACTTTGATTATGAAGGCCTGCAGGCGTTACAACTCTGTGAATACTCCTCAAAACGAAACAGTTTAATTGGCTTTTTTCTTGCTAAATAATTTATTCCACCTCTTTTCAGAAATACAGGCTGTGATAAGAGTTGTAATTTCCGATAGCTTTGCCTGACTAATCATGACATTGTCTGAATTGATTGGCCCTAAATGGACTTGGCAAGTGCTGAATGGACAGCACAGATAAACTTCAACTTTGTGAATAGAAAAGTACTTTCATCTCATGTTGCACAACCCGCTCAAGAGGTCAAACTTTTTACTATACGGACTAAATTACAATACTTAAACACAAATTAAATGCCCATAGGCATGCACATTCTGTAGTATCATTTTAATCTCCTCTAAAAGAAAGCATTTAGCATTTCTTGAAGCACATTTAACTCTGATTTAAAATGTGTATCTGTGTCTAACTTATTTTTATCATCATGCGTGTTGGAATTGTTGGGTTTTTAGCTGTAATCTTCCACGACAGGACATATAACCTCTATATGTCCATTGTTGATAGTTTTCACGTCATCAATAGTTTTACATTTCCTTGTTCTTAGCATTCTTTGTAATCCTAATAATGGTGAGTAGATAAAGGCCCACAACAGTTCCTGTGTGAATAAAATGCAGTAAGTGATCTCGTAATGACATCCAGAGCTGGTTTTTTTTACCCTATTTCCTCTGTAATATACTCGCCAACGTGGAAAACAAAACAGCCTGCAGTTTCTTCAGAAAGGGTGAAAGAGTATAATAAAAAGGATTAGCAGACAACAAGGTTGATGTAACAAAAATGTCTAAATCTGTTGTAGTCCATTATTCTTTTATTGATTAAATTAAATTAAATTTGATTTATTCTTGTATAGCCCTAAATCACAACAGTAGTCATTTCAGAGGACTTAACAAAACGGTTGAAATTGCCAACAGAGATCAGAGAATCAAACAGTTCAAACTCAAGAGTCTACATTTCTCTAAGGGTCTTTTCTCTTAATTGTAACCATTGCTTAGAGTCAAGAGAGAGGACAGAATTCTAAAAGTTCATGCATGTGTACTTTTACAGTAGATGGTTGGTTTCATGGTTGACCCACAGGTGAACATCTTCCTCCGAGTGAGTTGGGCAGAGCACGGACATAAAACACTCAGCTGCGCCTCAGCAGCAGCACTGTGGCTGACACAGGCCCGCCCCGTGGGTGTGTTTAAGCGCATCCACCTGCTCTGGTTCCCCGCCCCCTCCCCTCCCGGCCCCGCAGAGAGGAGCAGTGAGGAGCGCACAAGTTTAGCCGAGAGCCGCCTGCACGCTGCGCGCCTGGACGCTCCGCTCTGCTCTACTCTGCTCTACTCTGCTCTCACAGGGACTTACAGCGCGGCACATGTGCCAGGAGATGCTGATCTGTTCCGTGCCGGAGTGTGCCATCTCACTGCGGACAGAGTTGTATGAAAAGGACAGTTTTGCTTAGTCTCTGGAGGACGCGTGGGGAATCATCCAAGAGCGCGCAGCAGCACAGTCTGCGCGGTGCTCAGTGGATTCTCTGTGGAGAGGACTGTTTTGGGATTGTTTTCATGTCTTGTAAGAAAGGACTCTACTTTCTCACAAACCACTACTGACTATAGGTAAGTAATGAAATGCTGTGAAGAGTCATTTCATCTGCTTTTGTTCCAGGGCTGGATTGTAACCTCCATTACACTTTTAAATTAAGAAGTAAAGCTAAATGTGAATGTGAGTGAATGTAAAGATGGATATTGTTCCTGCTCCTCATTAGTGCCTCTGTTTGCACTGGAGTGGCTCTAATTCCACACCAGACTGTTTACAGTTCTGTCCGCGGCCAACCCTGCACGCCTGGTGTGCACACATCACCGCACACAAGTATAATAGCCAACATTTCAAACATCCCTCACACCGAACAAGATCATTATTTAGTTGTTACTTGTTAAAAGCAGTATTGTGACATCTCTACCCTGGAATCTCTGGCAGAATGCACTGTGCAGAGGAAACAAACAATGTATACATTGACAGTCGCGGTAGGTGCGACATTCCTCTTCACAGAAGGTGCAAAACAATTTCCACACGTTTTGCGGAATTAAAAGGCAATTTCTTTGTTATGGCTCTTCCTGCGTGCACTTGCAGATGCGTATTGCCTTTATGCACACTTAAACAGCACCCGTTTGTGGCTCCTGTGGTTGGATCCATGTCTGAATGGTCTCCTTCAGAATAAACAGCTGCCTCAGTTATAAGAAGTCAATATTCATGATTTGAACAGGTGTTTAGTGCTACAATTGACTCTGGAGAAGATCTAAGATCAAGCCATTTAGACACAATCATTGTTTTATTTAATAATTTCTTATCCATGCTCTGAATGGTCTCACCTGAGAGAGAGTGACATGTGTTCCAATTATGTACATATCCTGAACAAGGGATAATGTGGCATTAATTATGCATTGGGTACAAGTTTACTTATGGGAACCCCACTGCTTCAGCCTGACTCAGAGACAAATGCAAGGTTTTTAGGTTTTAAGGTTTTAGAACAACTGGGCTAGCCATCGACATAGTTATACTTAAAAAACTAGTGCTAAATTAGAGGTGTTTTAAACATAAATTGCAGAGCTGTTTCGAGAACTGCAATAAGATGGAATTAAGATTTTTAGAATCATTCTGTGCCTTCTATGCTTTCATTTTATGTTGCTGCAATCTGTATTTTTGTAGATACCTTTTCTCTGGACTGCCTCAATGTATATTATATTCTTAGCATAAAGTCACAATGCTAATATTGTATTAGCCTTGGAAGCAGCTAAAGCACTACGCTTTAATATTTATAGAAGCACGTGCATTTGACGAATTCACATTTCTACATGGACATGAGGCAACATGTCAGACATAACCTTTTGCTGAGCTGTGATATAAGTTCTTTCTGTTCTCACGATTCAATGGGGTTTCCTACGTAGTCATTCAAAATCAAACTGTTGTGTCATTAGTTTGTAAAAATCCCCCATAATACCACAGAGGGTTAAACAATTGGTCATGTCGTTGTGTTTGGTCATAAACACGAGGCTACAGCAAGAGCTGGTATTAGGTGAAGCCGTAATTACAAAGCAACCTCCAGTGTCATGGGTCGGGAATGTTTGGAGCAACTCCCGCATGGCACAATATCACTGTATAATGCAGATTTGTCAAATGCAAAAGGCTTGGAGAAGCAGAAACTGCTCCAGACTTGGCACAAATCCAGTAAAACTTGATGAAGGGAAACTGCTGGTGGGAAGGAGGACTTTTCATACAAAGTGATTAACCAGGAATTAACGACATGAATGACCTACAATGCTGCAATTTTTTCAAACCCATTAATATTATTGTTTATTTTAACAAACTCAGACAACAAACAAATTGTATAATTTAAAAAAATGTGCACAACAGAATCAGAATCATTTTTACTGCCATTTAAGCAACAGGAAGTTACAAACCAGGAAATCGCTTTGGAAAAAATAATAATGTGCGAGTAACTAAAATGGATAATGAAAATAACGGACCACTCCTGTCCCAGTCTACAACAGACAACAAAAGTGTCTGTAGCTTTGGCCTGTAAACTTAACACAAACAGAACCCTTTTTTCCACAATCTTTCTTTCTTTTTTGTCATTGTATTTCCACAGTGCGATATAATTGACCATGTTTAACAAGTTTTGCTTTTATGAAGTGTGTGTACTTCATACGATGGTCAAAATGAGTTTTTTATCCAAATATTTCTAATCTTAGCACTTTTACCCGTGCTCTCACTATGTTGCTAAGTACATGTATAATTGATGAAGTTTGACTCCTGGCATCAAAGAAGAGTGTTTCTTTCTGCTATAAAGACATCAGTGGCTCGCTGTTGTATATTTACTGTAGTGTATTTTAGCTAAAAGAACAAGACACTTTTGTATTCTTTCCCATCAGATAGCTCGATCTCCTTTTTACTGGACAGGTCACTGCTCAGTTCAATCAATCAATCACATTTTATTCATAAAACGCTCTTCATACAAGAATTGCAACACAAAGTGCGTCAAGTTCAAGGTAGATTGTTCTTTCAGCAAAAAAACGCCTGTGCAAAGCTCGTGACTCCTCTTCATGTCAAATTCAGAAAAAAGAGAGTCAGTACCGTGCCGTCAGTGGTGGTGATTGGACAGATGGCAACTCGAGAATATATATAGCGCTTAAATGACTTGCATGAATTGTGCTTCATAAATAAACTTGATTGAACTTGATCGCTGTACTCCCCCTTTAAAACCCTTCTCATGGAAACATCTTCTTTCCCCAGACTTTCCCCCCAAACCCTGAGTGACCCCGCCCTGTGCCCCACCATGTATGTGAGCAGCCTGTGGATAGTGCATACCTTCCTGGCCCTGTCCCACTTGGCAGCAGGGAACATCATCGCCCCCCCAGCAGTGGCCCACGACCCGCTGGCTGCTCCCCGAGTCTTCATCACATTCAAAGGTACGCTCCCGTAAGCTCCCGTAAAGCTCCTCTCTCCGTGTTTGCTCATGGTACCTTTAATAACTGCTGTTTGCACTGAAGGTTTGCTGTTTGATATGTGGCTGGGCTGGTGCTATGGATTGGAATGTTTTGCAAAACTGGGCAATATCTGCGAGAGAAGAACGCTATTGTCTTGATATTGAGATATGAATGTTCATGGTATTTATATGAAATAAGCCATGGAATAAACTGCATAGATTTAATAATGATAATAATAATGCATTGGTTTTATATAGTGCTTTTTTGGACACTCAAAGACGCTTTACATGACATTATTCATTCACTCCATACACAGTGGTGATAAACTACTACTAGTATAGCCACAGCTGCCCTGGGGCACACTGACAGAAGAGAGGCAACCAGTATGTGCCATCCGATCACCACCAATCATTCACACACCAGACTCATTCTAGGCAATGTGGGTGAAGTGTCTTGCCTAAGGACACAACGGCAGTTTGGCACTTTACAGCCGCAGCCGCCCCACTGTGGCTGGTGTTCTCAGAGGTTAAGTGTCTTGCCAAGGACACAACGACAGCAGACATCAGTGAGAGTCGATTGTGAAAGTCTTGAGGTGGGCTCGAACCCACGACCTTCAGTCTCAAAGGCTCTATGAACTGAGCTACTGTCGCTCTAATTATTGATTAGATATTTATTTCACCAATAAATCGATATCAATATTTCTGGTAGGAATATAGTTTAGTATTAGTTTATTTATTTAAAGTGACAGAGACCGCGTACAATAAACATTAACCTCATAGGTAGAGATGCATTGTACCAGTTTATAGCTCAAGAGATCATTTCCATCTGTAGTCCCTGAGCAGGCTGACGTTGGCCATAATCCATCGAAGATCAAGGCTTCACGTGCACAATTTGCACATTGAGATATGAAATGTTGTTTCTTTTGTTCTGCTGGTGTTTTAAAAAAGCAAAATATTATTCCTTGTTTTATTCATGCACTTGTCTTGTGCACACCGGGGACTTTTGCAAATGTATTCCAATGTGGTTTTACTGCAAATGGCAAAAAAATTAAACTGAATCTGAATCTTTTAATGCATTGGATTTATATGTGATTTTTACACAAGTCCGGCATTGGTACCCCAGCTTTGAAACCTCTCCATCCCTTTTCCATATTCATTTTCCAGCTATAACATGTGTACTGTTATATGTCAAAGAAATGTCCTGCTCCACTCCAAGTAAAGTGGAGATAACGAACAGGATTTACATTCACAGCTTTAGTCCGTACAGTAGAGATGGATTAAGTAAGTAAGTAAGTTAAGTAAGTTTTTATTTATATACCGCCTTTTCACTGCAGATCTGAGTCTCAAAGCGGTTTACAAATTGTTAATTTTTGGGCATTTGTCTCTCACTCCACACAGAGATGGGAGCGGGGTCGCCAGTACAGGAGGCGCATGCCAGAACTATTGGACATATTTTTAGTGGTAGGGGAAACCGGAGTACCCGGAGGAAACCTACGCAGACACGGGGAGAACATGCAAACTCCACTCAGAAAGGCCCTGGTCCGACCGGGATTCGAACCCAGGACCTTCTTGCTGAGAGGCGAGAGTGCTATCCACTCAGTGCTATCCAACTCAGGATTGAGTTGCTTGCTTGTTTTGTTGGGTGAGTTTTGCTAATACGATGTTGTCTATATATATATATTACATTTCTACTGTTTGCTCAATGCTGTTTCCATCCTTTGCCCCTTCCACTGACCCACAGTCCATATAATCCTCACCAGATGCTCTCGCTGGACCGCACTGTACAAACAATTAACAAGTCAAACATGCAGTGAGCAGCGGCACGCTCGGCAGATACTGTGTTTTTTTAAGCTATAATCAAATGCATTGTTGATTCCTTACGCGATCCTAACTTCCACAATGCCTGAGCTCGAAATGACAATAAGAAGCTTGTAATAACTGCAGATAGTATGTGATTACTCCCTGGAGAGGAGGCTCCGCTGGATTCTCAGGGTGTTTGGGGAAAGGTGGGACAGGTTGCCAGACGGGTTGCCAGCTTGGCTTGTAGAATCAATGAGTGATTACTAAGCAAGAGTGGAAACCGAATTCTCCGCATTTTCCAGTTGAATTCGATTGATAAAGACCCATGTATACCTGTCCGCGCTATATAGAAGTGTGAAACTGAAGTCTTTTTCAAGGTAGTAGTGAGCAGTCGGTAATGTTTATTTATATAGCACATTTTACAGACCAAGGTCACTCAAAGTGCTGCACAATATTCAGAGTTTACATATTGTTCAATTCACACACTTGCGCATCAAAGCCTCAAACCAACATCCATTCACTCACTCATTCAATTCAGACCTATTGTTCATGGCTTTAGTGGTAGGGGAAACCGGAGCACCTGGAGGAAACCTATGCAGGCACAGGGAGAACACGCAAACTCCACTCCACTAATTCACAACTGGACTTAACACAATTGTCAATTCATAAGGAGACTTTACAAATTCTCAGATTAGAAAATCAAACTATACTAAAAGTAAAAAAAAAAATTCATAAATGTACAATAATATCTTAGAACTCACACTGTAGAACATGAATTGTAAATAAAATCGCTATCATTTATAAATGTAATTGCACGTCTTGCTTAGGGATGCATCAATAGAGAGGTATCAGCCTTTTCAAGTCTGATACCTCTCCCGATACTTTGGCTTCAATATCTGCCGACACACGAGATGAACGGACACCAGTGAAGGTATTGTCAACTGTGTGACATTCTGTGCTAATATCACTCAGTAAACAGAATTATTACACCAAAAGATACATCAAGATAGATAGATAGATACTTTAATGATCCCTGTTGGAGAAATGCCTCTGGGTGGAGCAGGACCGGTCACAAGGTGGAGTAGCCACTTGGTTCGGACCATTTTCACGGCTCTAGTCCAAAGTAAAATGCTAAATGCTGCATTAGCATTTTTCAAAAAGTTAGCATTCCTCCAGTGGATTTTCACCTGATCCACTTGGTTCGGACCATGAATCCTCTCTGCTCTGGTCTGGACCAGTGCAAAACCATGAACGCTGTAAAAACTGTAAAATAAAAACTGTAGAGCACACTCAGAGCTACTTAGGACTTGCTGTCAGAGACCGACTGAATCAATACTTGATCCAACAATATTTCCAAAATTGGCAGCCTAACCCTAATTTTTCACACATCATGCAGTGGGTTTACTTCCTCAATGGAATTGTGTTGGACTTGGCGAGTTTTCCATTTTTTGCTCGTGCTTCATAATCATTCTCTCTGCAGTAAATGGCCGTGTATAGAATCTGTCCTGGAGGCTTGTCCTGCTGAGGTGGAGGTTTGATGAGGACCATGGGAGTGGGAAGGGGGCGTGGAGCAGAGCGGCGTTCCTGTTTGCTTTTGCCTTTCATTTCCCCCAGCTCCCTTCTACAACTTGACTTCATTAAGTGGCATTTCCCAGTTTTAATCAAGAAGGATTTAACACGTCACTGAGCACACATTTCAGCGCTCAGCAATTCTTTTCAGGAATATCTGGGGCGTTCCGTCTCACAAACTGGTTTGTGTTTGCTTTCTTTTCTTTTTTTTTTGCATCTGGGTTGGAGAGAGCTGCTTGTTTTACTCTTGAAAGAACAAATATTGAGCTTTTTGTGTTCACTTGGCCCTTTAACACAATCGTCACAGTATTTAGAATATGAAATCGTTGCATAAGTAGAACATTTAAAACTCTTGGTCCTATAATTTTATTTTATCTTGTGATTTTATTTTGTTTTTGTTTTTATTGTTATTTTTAGATTTTATACATATGTTTGTTTGTGTGTTGGACTCATAAATAACTTATTTGATTTTACATGATTTTACTGTTTAACTATGGATTTGTTTTAATTAGTCTTTTATTGTGCAGCACTTTGGAAACTGTGTTCATGAAATGTGCTTCATAAATAATGTGGATCAGAGACAGTGTTTATAGTGGATCAGTTGGTTTTGGTCCAATTTGAATTTTTTTTGGAAGAGATGGCCGTTTTTTTGCCTGATTATGTATTTTTAAAAATATGAATAGACTTTTTTACCTTCCATAAATGATTTATATAAATTATCATCGTTCGTCACTCTTAGCTCTAAACCGTGTGCTGATTGCTGTACAACCCGCTTTGACCACAGCTAAGATAAAATAATATTAGAGAACTCTAATTCATCACAAAGTGGGGAAATGTTGATGTTGCAGTGCACATTGAGGGCAGTAGAAAAAGCACACAGGGAACACACACAATATACAATTACCTGCTAGGCTTCTAAGCTAGCTGTAAATTGTCACGTTTCAAAAAGGAGGACGGACCCGAAATACAACACTGCAAAACTAATAGTTTAATAATAAACGATAATCCAAAAACAAAACTCAACTGAATGTAAAAAAGGAGCTGGGGACAAAGGGAGGGAAAGAGCACAGGGGATTTAACCGGGAGACACATCGGGGCGAGGCAGGCCATCCACAGAACAGGAAGTAGAACTCAAAAAGACACAGGAGAAGAGAATATACAAAATAAAACTAGACCATGACAGTAAATACTTCTTTAGAGGAGCAGCATTTCATCACATCTGTCTTCAGTGTCTGTGTCCTGACATTTATCCACACATCTGTCTGCAGCACTCTCACGGGTATTCGAGATGTGTCCCGTTCACTACGTTCCCGCTGATTACAGATGTCCCCCCAAACCCGCTGGGCCCCACTCTGTCTCTTTTAGTTGGCACAGTTTTTGTCGTCCCCCCACAAGAAAGTGTCGTTGGTGAATAGTTGTTCCTTGTGAAATGTACAAGAACTGCAACAACACTGCCTCTTTATGCGTCCATGTTATTGATTTGATTTGATTTTGGAAAAGCCCGTTGAGATGTAGCATTTCATATTAAAGAGGGTGCCATAACATAAAACAAACACACACACACACACACACACACACAGTCCCCCTCCCCATTCATCTTCTACCCACAATGCTACTGTGCAGGAATT